TTAAATCAGGGAGTACCTATAGAGATTTGAAGTAATATTTAACTGATTTGGCAAGTAACTATCATTATCCTAGTAGAGTTCTAAATCACAGTGTTTCAATCACAGCCTATATATATATATTCTAAAGAGCTATACATTTTCCACATTTTATTAGCTAGTCCTAAGTCTAATGTCAATAGAAAACTAAGTATCTGTTTAGACTGGTCATGGAAATGATAAGTGAATGTAACTGCTACCTTTAACATTAAAGATTTGCTATCCAAGTTTAATTTCTTTTCATAGCAGATGTTCATGAGGGGGAAAAATTCCTTGCATATGAAAACTAAAACTGTCTTTCAAAATATTTTGCTAACAGAGAATTGATAATATAGTGCAAATGCTGCAAGATTGCTTCATTTGACATTATTCTTCCAGATGAATTGGGAAGGGTTTGCTTTTGGTTTTGTTTGATTTGTTTGGTTCCTCAATAGGTGTATCATCTGAACATCTTTAGTAGAAATTAATGTCTAGAATCTGTTAGTGATTGTCAGAGTGTCCTTCTCATACCCAATATTTTCTATTGTGTTGCTATTCTCACAATTGATTACTTTTTTCTGACATTTAAAAGTTTAGAAAATGGGTCAGCAATGAGTTCGCTTTGTTTTTCATGATCACGAAGTTCTTTCCTATTTCAAGTTCGAGCTCTAGATGTGCTTAAAATTTAAAATCATGAAATTAATAACCCTTTGACTTGGATCAACTTCTAAGTGGTTTCTTATTAATTTTATATGCATATAAAATGCCTTGATCTTTGCCAAATGGTATAAAATCTTATTTAGATCAATAGATCTAAGTCCTCTGGTTAAATGCAGAGGAAGAATATTGGAAAATGCATCTATGGCTGTGTGCTCTTAAAGAGAATTTCTGATGGCTTAATTCACTCCCTCCGTTTCTTGCGATATTTTCTCATCTTGTATTAATCAAAGCTCTTCTTATCTGCTTTGGAAAGTGAAAATTTATGTCTGTGAAATGTATCAACAACAGTAGCAGCTTCTTGCAGAGGGAATACTACCAACCTGAACTATTAGGCCCTAAGGACACATAAAGTATCAAAATGGTCTTTGCCAGAGAGAGAAGTGTTGGTGAAGCTGAGCAGGTATTTAGAAAGGCCAGACATTTAAAAATGGCCCCTCCTTCTGTCCTGCCTCCCAAACCAGGAGGTTGCTTCATTGGGTTCCAGTCATTCCTGTAGTGTAATTATTGGCTCTTTAACAGCTCGGAGCACATCCAGTGTGTTCTTAAGTTCTGTTAGTTAACACTTCACAAGTTGCTTCCTTGCTGGTTGGTTGATGTTTTCAGTTAATGCTAAAGAAAATGTTAAAGGTATTTTCAGATCCCTACATTTTAGAAGAGAAATGTTAGAGGCTATTTGTCTAATCTCATCTAGGTGTATTGTCCTCTTACTTACAATAAAATGAAAGCCATGCTTCAGTCTTACTAACTGGGGAACCCGGTGCTAATACCATTTTTCAATCTGAAGTAGCAGTGTCAAGAAGAAAGTAAAGACTAAGAAAAGGAAACATTAAAAAATAATAAAAGGTTGAAATGCCAAACCAGTGGTTCTGTAGTTGTTGAGAGACTTTGACTAAAGAAAGACCACCAGACATACCTAGGAAGCTAATTAAAGCTATGTACCTCTTCCATACCTTCCTTCTTACCCCTCCTCCTTTCTCCTTGTGGAGTCCCATGATGGCAAACGAGGAGCAACCAACCCTCCACAGTGACCTCAGGTATTGCAGTCCACAGAGTGGCATCCTCAGAATCACCTGAGAGGTTGTTAGAAATTCTGACTCTCAGATGTTATCCAGACCCCCTGAATAAGAATCTGTATTTTTCAAGAGCCCCAAGAGATTCAAAAACACATGAAAGTTAGAGAAGCCCCATGCACAGGCTTGTTTAAAATGATTACCTAGAAGTAATTTTCTTGGCCTTGTAACCAACCCACATGTTAATAAAGCTAACATTTCTTGAGCTCATATCGTGTATCAAATGCAGTGTCCAGTTTTAAAATGTGGTCTTTGACTTAATCTTCATAACAATCCTACGAGAGAATCACTACTGTATCCCCATTTTATAGGTTGTGGTACTGAGTAATGGTGGGGAAACTAGCTCACCCAGATGTGGTAACCGAGAGAGTTGAGATTCAAACACAGGCATTGTGATCCCAAAGCCCCTAAGCTTGCTCCTGCCTGCACTGCTCGAAACTATGCTGCCTACTTTTGAATTGTTTGAAATTTTATTCAAAGTTATAATTGAAATCTGGTCCCATTTTCTTCATCTGAAAATTAAGATCAATTGTATTTAAGTGTGATAATGAAGAATTCTAGAAACTCCTGTTTTAGGTGGCCAAAAAATACTAAAACTATGAAAGCCCACCCAAAGTTGTCAAAATGTATTCACTTAATGTGTGTGTATGAGTGGGGAAGGGGTTATATAGCATTTACTTCAATCAAGCTTTAAAAAAAAAATGATAGCTGTGCTTGGTGCTGTACCTGTTGTCCCATCAACTTGGGAGGGTAAGGGAGGAGATCCTTTGAGCCCAGGGGTATAGGGCCAGCCTGAGTAGCCTAAGCAAGACCCTGATGGCTTAAGGAAGAAAGAGGCGGAAGGAGGGAGGAGGAGGGAAAGGAGGGAGTAGATAACATAATGTCAAAAATTAACTCTTGATATATTCCCGTAATTCACTGTTGAACTTTTGGTGTTTTGATGTTAGAAAAAAAAAAATGTTATCTTTTGAACCAGTTAGATACACTGTTCAGGATTCCAACTCAAATATGTATTGCTTTTTCAGTCTTTGATATAAATGCTTATTTACCACAAGCATGGTTTATAAAACCAGAGTTGACTATAGCTTGGAAGCAAACTATCCCCAGGCAAGTGGGGACTTATTTGAAACCAGTGACTCCCCACATAATTTAGTCCCTAAACTATAGATCCCAGTGCATGCAGATTGACAGTTGTCAGATGGGTCCCACCAAATGTCGCTTGTTTTGACAGGGGCTCATTGCTGTTTGTCAGAAGACTGAGCTAAGTCTGGGTTCCCTAAGATTGTGTTTGAGTTTAAAGGGGTGCCAATAGGAGCTATGGCTTTCTCAATGAAGAAGGTGCATCTCTGGGAGACAGAATCTCACCAGCTGCTTGGATCTAGAACTCTAGACATTTGAATGACATTAACCGTAATGTCTAAATTTTAAGTTACAGGTTAGGGCAAAATCAACCCAGGGCTACTCTCATTCCCTATGGTCAGGGCTGCAGAGGGGAAATAGTACCCAGGAGATATCTTACAGAGTATCATAGTGCTGACAAAGGAAAAGTACAAATGGTCATTCCCAATGGCCATTTAGAATCCCACTGGTTTCACCAAGCCCAAACATTTGTGGTTGTGGCTTCATATAATCTGCACCAGCATTTTTTTCCTAAACGGACTGAAAAATCTCATAGAATTTCTTCTAGTAAATTTCATACATTTGCAATCTTATCACTAATCATTTTCCCTACATTTTGACCCAAATGCTTCTTTTTTTCTGATTCCCATGCATTTTGATATGCTTCTAAATCTGCACAGTAGCCTCTAGAACAAGAATGCTTCATTAGCCCAAATGTAATAAACTCTTTCCATTCGAATGAGGTCACTTCACGTAAAACACATTGCACAGTGATGTCTCCCAGCCCGTAACCTTCACATGTCTTGTCACTGCCATTTTATCAGGATGGGGAGAATCTGTGATAATTTTTTTCAATCTGCCCTGCCCTTTGATGTGCTGACAGAAAAAGTACACCAACAGGACTAAGCAGCCACGTTTTTAAGCCACATGGTAGAAAATTATACAGTCAGCATATATTTTATATAAGTACATTCTGCATAAGTATATAATATTTTATGTATTTAATAATTTAGTGGCAAGGTAAATATAAGTAAACAAAGCAATGTACAGAACATAAATCATAAGTATTACCGTGGGGGGGGGAGTTCTTATCAAGTTGTCTTTAAAGTCTGACATGGAGCCAGGTGTGGTGGCACACACCTCTATTCTCAGCAGCTCCAGAGGCTAAGACAGGAGGATCAGGAATTCAAAGGCAGTCTCAGCTAAAGTGAGGTATTAAGCAACTCAGTGAGACCCTGTCTCTAAATAAATAAAACATAGGGCTGTGATATGGTTCAGTAGCTGAGTGCCCCTGAGTTCAATCCCCAGTACAGCCCCCGCCCCCCCCAAAAAAGTCTAACATTAGTTCTTGGTGTTGTAATGAAAGTAATTTTGTTATATATATATATAACAACAACAACAACAACAACAACAATATATATATATTTTTTCCAAATGCCTGCATATTTGTGGACCAGAAAAGAAAGATTAGCAAAATATACAGTAAATCTTAAAAATGATTGAGGGTTATTAATTTCAGGTTTGATTTCTTTCTTTCTTCCTTTTTTTTCCACATGACTTCTGAATTTCCTATAATGAATCCCTTTTACTTTCATACTTCTCACTATGTATCTTATAATTTCTGTTACTTTCCTTGTAACTCACTCTGGATTTCTGATTAACTCTCTGGAGAATGGTACTGTAAATCAGCCCCTTTCTGTAATTTTTTTCCTAAGGTATATTATAGTCTTACAAAACAGCCCATAGTTGTTTTTACTTTTTTATATTCTTTTTTTATTTATTTATTTATATATGACAGCAGAATGCATTAAAATTCTTATTGCATATATACAGCACAATTTTCCATATCTCTGATTGTATACACAGTATATTCACACCAATTCATATCTTCATAACTGTACTTTGGATAATAATGATCATCACATTCTACCATCATTAATAACCCCATGTCCCCTCCCTTCCCCTCTAACCCCTCTGCCCTATCTAGAGTTCATCTATTCCTCCCATGTTCCCCCTCCCTATCCCACTAAGAATCAGCCTCCTTATATCAAAGAAAACATTTGCCATTTGTTTTTTTTTTTTTTTTGGAAATGGCTAACTTCACTTAGCATTATCTTCTCTTGGTTCCACAGAACTGCCCATAGTTTTTATAACACCTTGGTATTTTATGGAAGAAGCCACCTTACAGACAATGCCTTTTGCTAGTAGGTCCTTCTAATGCCAAAATTCATCTATCTTACCATACTACAGTAAAGCTTGAATATATGGTTGCTCAAAACCAAACAAAAAAAAAATATTTTTGTAGCAGCCAAAAGGAAAATTGAGGGGTGGGGGAGCCTTTAAGGCTCATGAATAACAGAATAGCTAAGTAAAGTATCATGTAGTCATCAAATGAATGAGGTAGATTTATAAATGCTGATATAGGAAGTTCTGTTAGCCATAGTTGTTAAGCAAAATTAACAAATGAAAACAGCAAAAAGCAAAGTAATATGCATAAAAAGAAACAACATAAATATACACATTTACATGTATCTGCATTCATTTTTTATAGTCCTAAAGGATATACAATTTCTTAGTTGGCCTTATCTCTAGGAAGTGATTCCAGGGACAAAATTAGAGAGAATAAGGAGATAGATGCTTACTTTTATTTTATATTCTTCTATAACTCAACATTTAAACTACAGACAAGTGTTATATCTGTGAAAAAGAAAAACAGAACAAAAGTTCTTTTACAATGGTGTTTTTTAAATTATGGTTAAATAACACTTGTATAAACTTTGTACTAGAAAGATCACATAGCTAAGCTTAACTCTAAATTCATAAGCAAAAATCAAAATCATTATAGAATTTTTATTTAGTAGTCATGTCTATAGAAACCATCTTAGAATAAGATTATATTGTTTCACCAGAAAGTATTCTGTTTTTCTTTGTCTGGTGTGTGTCCACGAGCAATTGAGAAAGCTGCTGTTGACCATGAGCAGACAGAAAAATGGGATCCCTTGATAGCTGCCTGGTACCACCTAACTCTAAATAAAGAAAAATATGTTCTTGAGGTGGAACAGATGATTTCATTCCCTTCCAAAACATTCTTAATATGCAGTGTTAATACTTACTTTGTAAATTAAAAAATAAAAAGCTGACCACATTCATGAATCACTTTAATCTTTTTCTTTTCTTTCCAGATTTATTACAAGAGAGATTGGCCCCAAGTGAATGGGATTTTATCTGAATAAGTCACTGAAGCCATCCCAAGAAAGAGGCCATCAGGTAAGCATCCAGCATCTACAGCTTGTATCATCAGTAGGTTTCTTAAGAAGTTAACAAGAATCCACACAACATGGTTCTGTGAAAGAAATAGATAAAGTCTTCTTCCATCCCTTCCAACATACAGATTAAGATTATATGTATTTATGTGACTTTAAATGTAAACAGTCTGAATTACCAAGGTATTTCCACATGTGCTGATAAATCATGTGAGAGATTTGCAACTCCTTGGCAAAGACACTTTATGGCTACAGGTAATTGTTTGGATCAGTAATGTCCTTGCTGGTTAGAACTCCAAAGGCCAGCAGGAAAATGATTGTGCTCTCTTATCAGCTGCCTAGTGGAGTATCTGTGCTGGAATGCACCAGTCCTCACGTCCAGAAGTCTAAAGATGTGACCTGCTTAAGCCTGTTCACCTTCAGCAAAGCCTCATGTCTCAAAGTCTCATTCTTACAAACTTCTCTCTTACTCCAATGAGAGGATGGTGGGGCTGGGCAGGGGGGGATATGAAATTGGAGTTGGAGGACCCTCCTTAAGCCCCTGCTGTTGAGCCCCACTCTGTGACAGGCAGGGATGACATGGGGTCCCATAGCAGAAGGCAGATTTCTCAGAACTTGCACAGAGACTACTAGCTCAGTTGGCTGGGTCTGCCCTTTTCTGCCCAACTCCTGTCTCATGGACCTGTCTGGTGTTTTCCCCATTTTTAAAAAGAGTCCTTAATTTATCCAAGTAATGGGGTGGGGGCCCAAAATCCTCAACTCAAAGAGCAAGCTTTCAGCTTCCCCACCCCCCTCTATAGGGAAATTGAAAAAGTAGCTTGTACCATTCTGAATATGCTGTGATTCTGTTTCATCAAAATAGAAGTTGGGTAGATAAATATTAGAAGTGGCTGTATTCTTTGCCAGGTTGGCATGTAGGAAACACTTTTTGGAAGGCACTCCATGGTAGTAGTGTTAGGAAACTATTTAGGACTGCTTTAATCTTGGAGATAAAAATAGTCACTTCTACACAGTTCCATCACTGGGTATCTTTAGGTTTTTGTGGTGTGTTTGTGTGCAGGTGTGTGCTTTTTTTTTTTTTTTTTTAATAGATAAGCTTGGGGTTTGGGCTGTGTCTTTTTTCAGACAAAATTCAATTCTGGAAGCAGTGCAGTAAAACTACATTATTGGGGAGATTATAAGACAACATGTTTTTAACAGTACTGGACAGAAGTAGCTTTTTCTACAAGACACCTGATCAGCCCTATTGTCATAGAAGCCAGAGGGTTAATCCAGGGAGTGATTCTTGGACCTGCCTCCCTTCTCCTATATTTTCAAAGTCTTCTGTTTCCAAGTCACACATCTGTGGCAAAACCTCCAAAAAAAAAATCATTATGTTTTGCTTAAGAAAAACAAAACACTGAAGAAAACATATTTCAAATTTTTTAACTTCTTCAAACCTTTGAGTTTCAGATGAGTAAGCAAAACATACTTCATTCTAAAAAGCTGGATTTTTGTTTGTTTAAAAACCCATGTTATACCAATCCTACCACTAACTAGCAACTGTGTCCTCCACTTCCTGTGACGTACTCTCCAAGGCCCCATCCCCTGTACTGAAACAGTGTTAGTGGAAAGCTGTGCTGAGCTCTCTGACATCCCTTTAAAACTTTCACCAGTTTTATGAGTACCGAACTCTGATCTCTCATTGATTTAAGCCAGGGATGTGCAAACAGCATTTCAGACCTTGTTTTATAGGTCCAAAGAATTTATGTTGAAATCTAGTTACAGTAAATGGAGAAAACCTGACTACTACATTTAAAAGAATAAGAACCATACTTGATGGCTTAACATCTATGTATTTGTACCATCTGATATGGGAGCCATTTAGCCATAGGTGGTTATTTAAGTGTAAATATCAATTAGTTACAATTAAATAAAATTAGAAATACAGTTCTTCAGTTGCACCAACCACATCTCAAATGCCCAGTAGACACAGGGAGCTAGTGGATAGTGGAGAAGTAGAACTTTTTCTATCCTCCTAGAAAGCTCTATTGCAAGGACTGCCCTAAGCAGATTTATTAACATGGTGGACTTTCGCTGCCACTTGGTGGGAAAGTTGCATACTCGTATTAACTTACTTGGAAATTTTAAAATATTTCTGAAATTCTGATTTCCTAGGTATGTTGTTTCCTAGATATTTATTACCTAAGACATAATTCTCCTAGGCCTCTTTTACCTTTTCTTATCCGTATGCATATTTAAATATAAGGGAGTTAGTATTTTATGTACTCTTCTAAAGTTCTCCATTTCTTCAATATTTGAAAAGAGGCACCTACAGTTACAGGGAGCTGAAGACTGGGGTACATGGCAGTTATCTTGTTTACCTATGTCCGTGTCACCTCCAAGTAAGCAAAACTTCCAGAAAATTTGTTTTCCTACAATGACAGATGGGTCTCAATTGTATCAACTTAAATAAAGTGTGTTTTTTAAACAGTTTGGAGAGCCAAACAAAATAAGTGCTGTAACACTTCTTTTTTTGATGGACATGTACATGAGATTAGAAGTCTTTGTTTTTATGTGGAATAGAGAGAGATAGATAGATAGACGAATGGATGGATGGATGGATGATAGATACATACAGTAGTGTTACAAATTCTAATTATTAAAATCACCTTCTATTATGGTCTATCTTGAAGTTCATAGTCATCGTCTTTCCACTAACGTGATCCCATTCATGAAACAGCAATGTCAGACTCTTTCCAGTCACCTCGACCCAGCAAATCAGTTAAGTTTGTTTCCTAGAGTAATGGTTACACAAGGCAAAAAAATTAGAAACATATTTGTCTTTGAGTTTTTGATGCATAAGGGGGTTTGAAATAACTAGAGAGATAGCTATATATTTATATATCCAGCCAATATTCCCTTTATCCATTTCCTTTTATTTCATTTTCAATGAAAACATACATGGTAGAAGTTTGGGCACAGCTTAGGGTTTTAAAATATGAGTACCAGAATCTTACCAATGGTGGGGGAGGGCAGGGGGAAGCAAGGTAAAGGTTAGCCATTTGTGTTTAATAAACAAAAATATAATTTGTTTTAAGGATAAACAAGTTTACTCTAAATAAACTATTCCACACAGTTTATCTATGGTCAAATTGTTCTTTTGCTTAAATAATGTGTCTAGGAGATACCACTTCCAGATAGATTGCTATTACTACTTTTTAACAATTAGTAGAGCTCAGAGCAATGAGCCTCTGAGTGTAGAGGCTGTGATTTGCTGACAGGAAGGACAGTTAGCTGGTACCAGCAGTGAGGTCATCCTCTCCTTCCTACTTCTTAGTCCTTTCCTTGAAGACTTAAAGTTTAGAAGATTTACAGGAGTCATTTTTTTTAATTCTAGAAAAGTCTAAAATATCTTACAAATGTAATAGTACAATTCAAACCTGGTAGGAGGAAACTGGTTATCTGGAAGTAGTCCTTTGATGTCTTTCCTGAATGTAAATATGTGCTTGACTCACCCAGGGAGCCCTAGGTTACCTAGAACAATGTGATATGCAAGCCCCAAATCCAGCCAAAAGCGGGTTTCTTCCTCCTGGAGTTCAGGCAAGGCAGGATGCTTCTGCACACAGCATGGGCTCCAGGAACAGTGGGGCCATAGTAGATAAAATGTACCAGAGGGTAAGAGCTATCTTTTGATCAAGAGTCTGTAGCTTGCTACTCAGTGATGCTCCCAGGTCAAAGAGGAATAGGCAGGCATTTTGCTGCCTCCGGGTCCTTCAAGGGGATTAGCATGCAGAACAGGTAGAAGTGGGATGTCTTCCTTAACAATGCAAGCAAGGACTCTGCCTGGGCAAAGTGAAAACAAGGCCCATGTTGGTCATTCATGATAGATGGCCACAAGGCTCCTGTGATGGACAACATCTTTGTACACCATCAGAGGGCCAGCCACATCCTACTTAACGCTTGCCAGTAAGGAATACCAGTCTTTGTTTTGCATAGAGTGTGTTTATACACAGCTTAACACACAAAGAACATTGCAAAGCATCCTTTGGAAATTGGCCTGCAGTGTACCAGCTATTGAAGGAGTAGGAGACTCCCCCTGGACTTCCGCCAAAACAGAGATTTAATTAGATGGATGAATCAGACAAAACAAACCATCTGAATTAAAGAGTGAAAAATACAACATGTACGTACCAGTGAAATGAAAGGAAATCTGCACTATGAATAAAACAATGAATGAAAATAAATTTTTAATTTAGGTTCCTTCAGGTAATGTGACCAATTTAATAGACCTAATTTAACGTGAAGAAGATCCATATAGAGATCCACGTGATCTATTTTGTCTTCGGAGAAAGATGCTTCAATTCCTTCAACTTTCACATTTAATCAATTTTTTTTCAAGCTTTTGTGATATCACTGTCCATCAATCCAAATTAGTTGGGGGGAAAATGTATATCTCTATTTCCCAAGAGAAAGTAATTCTGTGATCTTTCTGAGCAATTCATTCTAACAATTAAGAACCCTTAAGCTAAATAGAAAAATTCATTTCAGAGGAAACTTTTATTCAATATGTATAATTAGTTTTAGTTAACTTTATTAATGAAATGTCGCAAATCAATTAGGTTTTCAATAATCAGATGCTGAGGACCCAAGAGGGGCCATTTCTCTCACAAGAGGGGAAGGTGATATACAATTTAGTCGGGAAGCAAATGTAATTAGATTTGATCAGTTGAGTATTCCTGTCCTGATGTGGCGTTAGGCACATACCCAAGCCTGAGCATACAGTTGAAAAAGAAGTCAGAAAAAACACTGTGACTTAGAAAATGTCTTCTCGGTCCTCTTAGCCATAGCTGGCCACTCAGAGGGCCTTTGAAGCTGGAGATAGATGGGTTTTCTTCAGAGAGGCTGTTTTAAGTTGCTTTGTCAAATCCAAATGCCTTTAAGCAGGGCAGGATGTGGACTCTCTGCTTGCCACAGACTCCTCCACTCCCTAATGCCTCATGCCCAATGTTTCACACATTACTTAGCTGCTCAACTCCAAATCGCATTTCAGTTTTCCACTCTCATGACCCAGTCATTAACTACTGAACAGATGTGAAGCAGCCCTAAAGTTTCCTTTCAAAGTAGGAGTTATCCAGGAAATGACATGACAGTAAGACTCCTTCTGAATGAAGGTGTTGTTAAACAAAATGTTTTCCTTGATAGGACTGCATCCTGAAATAGATCACTCAACAGTCAGCCAGTCAGTACTTTTGGACCTTGGCATGCCAGTGACTGTTGTCAGCTCTGAGCACAAAGTTGTAAATAAAGCAAATATCGCTGTCCTCATAGAATTTATAGTCTGGTGCATGAAGAGAGAAAAAAAAAAGTAAGTAAAATGTTTAATATGTTGAATGACATAAGGAGTGGGAATACTGTGTAGAAACAGTAGGAGGGCATGCTGCCATTTTAAAAGGAAGTTTAGAGAAAGTCTCCTTAGTAAGAAAAAAAAAAAACTTTGTGGATATCCAGGAGAAGATTGCTCTAGGCAGAGGAGCAGATGCAAAGGCCCTAAGGCATGAAATTATGGACATATCCAAGGCTCAGCAAGTAGGCCAGTATACTTAGGAACCTCAAGGGAAGAGCAAGTAACAAGTGACAATATATTGAAGGATATGAACGGACAAACTAGAAGCATATTTAGAATAGACACAAACAAGGAAATGGATGGAATTTAAATACCCAAGTGGTTTTAAAACTTAAAATGCTTTGAAAGATGGTGAGATCTTCCCCAAACTGGATAAAAATTTAAGAGAGGTGAGGTCTACAACTCGGCTAAGTTCGTGGCAGCAATTCTACTGATCTTTAAACACTTGTCCTCCCGCACACTTATGTCTCTTGCTTGGCATGTTGTATACTTCAAAAACAATTTACTGGAGATCCTGATCTGTGTTCCTGTATCTCTTAAGTGATGGAGTTAGAACTGCATGCTATTGCCACTAGATTACTTTTAATGAAGACTTTGCCTTTTTAGACACACACAGCAATGAGCTCAGTAAAGGGATACCACTGGACGTGGAATAATTTCATAGACTGTGCCCAGATACATTTGGGATTAGGGGTGCATCCACCATCCACATAAGTAGAAATAAAATTATATAGTGGAGAATTTCAAAACCGCTAATAAAAAATATATAGAGTCTCTGAGCGAGAAGAAAAGATTCAACTTGGTCTCTATTTTATTGGTATTGTCTTTTTTCAATCCTTGTGTCTTTTTCCTGTCCTGCTATTCTTCAAGATTTCCTAATGAGGATTAGGGAACAAGGGTATTTAACAATCTGTGTTTGCAGGTTGGAAACAAGAAAATGAAGACGAATCACTTCTCTTCTGCTAATTTGATTCTCTATGGCTCCTCTCCTACCAGCTTGGGCGCAGGAGTTAGTTACTCTTTCCAGCAGATGGAGCCAAGGAAAAGGCACACATCTGTGGTCTCGTGCCTGCAGTGGTCTCGCCATTGCATGACCTCACTAGGGACTTCCCCAAGAGGGAGAAAAGAGAAGTGTAACCTCAAACCCCAGAGGGAAGCAGCAGCTCAATGTCTGGGAAGTGCTGGGACCCAAAAGGTTTTAAAAATAATGTGATTTCTGATCCAACAAGTGCCATTATCCTTACTTTATTTTAAGAAATGGTCACTGTTCTAATCAGAAAGGTATATTTCAAATTGTTCTAAACTTGGATAAATCAATAACTAAATACTATTATTAGGAAGTATTTTAATGTCAGAAAAATTAAGCCATAGATGTTTTCTAGTTGACCCTTGAATTTGCCATATGTACCTGTCCTTTCCACTAAAATAGTTGCTAAATGAAAAGCTGTGCTTTTTCCCGCTCTTTATGTCTGATGGCTTATTTAATTGAGGGTGCACACATCTCTGAGCCTTAGAATGTCTGTGATGACATGGAAAGAGTTCACACGACTATTATGCTAATTTGAATTCAGAACTTTTAAAGCCTGGATCAAGTCCACACTGTGTCTCTGTGCAGCGATGGCTCTTAACCCCTACTGCATTGTCAAATGCTCTTCCAGGAAATCAACGGAGATGTAGTCGGAGAGCCCTCTGGGCTAAGCAAAGCTAGAGAGGCAGAATCCAGCAGGGCCACATCCCTGGTAGAGCTCCATCCTGGACCTAGTCCTCTTCTCTAGAGTCACGCAGTGGTGCCCTCTTTGGTCTCCTCCCTGAGGCCACAGTGGAATCCTACTCACTGGTCTCAGAGAATTAAAAAGGAAGCTATAGAAATGGTGCTGAGTTAACAGGACAATGTGGGGTTCAGTTCTGAACAGCTGGTGAGTGGCTGGCTCTAGAATATAATCCAAAAAGAACCTTCCTGGTATTTTTCCAGGTCCTCGGGCCAGTTAATAGTACAAAGTGGTTATTTATTTATAACTATTCAGGAATTTGTTTCCCAGCCCTGCCAGTGTGACTGACATGCCTTGAAAGCAGCCGCGAGCGAGCTCTGGGACGTTAAGAGAACATACAATACATCACCTCAAACCAGGAGTTTCCCTCTCCTTGCACAAAGGCATGACAACTGGTTCAAATGGACCTGAACTTCTACGCGGGAGAGTGAGCACTTCTGATTTCAGGGGCCATGTGCCTCTTTTGTAACTCCCGTGTGTCCTTGGAAATTGGTGCTCAAAGGCCAAACTGCCAAAGTCTAGTCCTTTTCCTCTGAATAAAAACCCTTTTAGTTGTACGTCAGGACCTGTTCTCTTCAGTGCTCATTGCAAAATAAGGCAATTCTAACTTGAAATGCCAGCA